GCAGAACAATGCAACTAATTTTCTGCATCTTAAAGGTTTAAGTTTTTTTTGCTATCACTGATAGTTAACTTGGGTAAGTTAGCATATGCTCCAGACCTCAAAGGTACTCCTTGACATAAATTCAGTCTGAAATAGACGACTGGTTCTTGATCTCTTGTATGCACTAAAGAACACAGATATGCAAAGTACATTGTGTTAGGCAATGCTATACATAATTATTTGCCCTCCTAATGGATTCCTTAATTGGGTCTTCTGAGCACTATATTTTAACATTATCATTTTGTTAATGCTTACTATGTTTCACAATTTACCTTGCAGTAAATTAGTGGCCTTCAGATGCATGATCTAAAATGCAGTGACAGCTGCTCAACCAGTAGTAGCTGAACCAGTCTATTTTTAATTCTCAAAAGAATGAGGTCTCACTCAAGTGAAATGAAATATGAACATAAAACATTAAAAACTCAGATGAAAATCAACAGTTAAGAAACATCAGAATCAATCTGCCTATCTTAAACTTGCTTTCCCAATATATTTGTATTAGATTCTAATTCCTGGTTATGGTACTGTATGTTCTTGTTTTGCACAGAATCTCAACCTTTATTGAAAATAAATGTGACAGAGAATTTAAGCATGACACCTTTAAGGGAGTGTTTTACAAGTACTTAAGAGACAAAGCTGCTGATCAAGTGTTTGGTGCTGTACCTTGAACAGAGATGCCATCATATGGGTGCATGTGGTGTGAGTGCTTGGGATCACGTGGTCAACAGTTAAAAGGGAAGTGATGGTTAAGACTTTCAGTGTAAAACTGATCATAGCTCAGCTCCAGATAAGCCAGTACCTTAAACTGGTATTGCACTGTGATTGCCTGCCATCCAGGGGTTCCCGCTGAAAAAACAGACAGTTCTGTATGAGTTATGTTTCAGTTGTTGGCGCAATAGTTGTCCACATTTTCGTATTACTAAACATTGACAAGTAGTTCAGGTTTAACATGGCATTTAAAGTTTTGCAAAAAACCTCACGGCTAGAACCATAGATAATGTAAAACGGCTGAGCACCCTACATTTTTTATAATAGTGTGATGCAAAATCAAATGCAAAAATAACAGACAAAACCCAATACTCTTGCAATTTTTTCCACTAAGTTGCCTTCCTTTGCACACTTCTTTAGAACTTAAGAAACACCTAAAGGTTTCTTCTTCAGCCACTCCATTGCTCCCCACATTAACTGTAAGCCTACCAGCTCTACATGGAGACAACTAAGCTGGAAAATGTTCTGTATCTTCTAGCTATAATAAAAAACCCAAACAGCTATGTAATAAAACAAACACACTACAGTTTAAGAGGACAGCAGGTCTGCCGCAGTACAAAGTTTTTGTTCACTTCTGAGGGATTGAGAGAAACTTACTAATTTTGTAAAAGTACGGGACAAATCATTCTGTTTTCAGCCCAGTGAATCTTTGCCTCCTGTCCTTCCTCCTGTTCCCATGCAAGCTGCTATCAGCAAGCTGCACCGCTGCTGAACTCTCCTCTTCATGGTTTGTGTGGTGCACAGCTTTCTTCTTTAACATCTTCTGTAACTGAAGACAAGGGTTAGAAACTGTAGGGAGAAGTTACTGAAATCATTAAGTTTAGCATTAACCTCTCTTCAGGTATTTGCTAATATTTCAGGTCCTGCTAATAGGCAGGTGCTACTTTGAATGCCATGGAAACCTCAGATGTCAAAGAGACATAGATCACTTGCCATTAACCTGCAGAATCATTAATCTGCACCAAGTTTAGTCAGAAAACTCCTGGGCAAGGTTTTACATTTCCACCCTGTTTTACTCTGCTGTTATTCTTCATTCTATATGCCAGGGGAGCATCTGATCATTGGAGATTAATTAGTAATTAAGTGGTGCTTCAAAAACATCACAAGTTCAGAGAAGAAAGCAACCTAATCATGTTAGAAAATAGTTGGAAATATAAATTCCAGACTCCTGTGACTTTCTTTTGAGCAGGAAATTTAAATAACTTTATTTTGACCATACCAAACTGACTAGTTGTATTACTAGATGTAATAAACAAATGGGAGATATTTAAGCTGACATTTGAGTGGTGTCAAAGCCTTCTAAGCTTGTTCTGAGTAGATTAGTAGATAAGTGCTAGCCTTCCTATTCTGGGATACGTTCCAAGGCAAGCATGAGGACTGATGATTTCATTTAACTCCAAAGTAGTCAACACTGTATACTTAAAAATACAAATAATTTGCTTAATTCTTATGACACGCTACCAGTTGACAGAAGCAGTGTTGGGATAGAAAACCCCCTCTCTGCTTGGCACTGTATCTGAGGGCAAAAACTACACTTCCTCTACTATTCAATCAGTATGTGAAACTATAATTATTAGCAAGGGGTGTACAGTTTTCTCAAAAACACATAGTGGATCTCATCTGATCTAATCTCAGAAAAACTGACTTAATAAACCTTTTTTAGAAACAATGGACATCATTAGATGTTTCACAAACACTCCATAGTATATTTGTACACTTTAAAAAGATAATGGCAAAAAAATTCAGGGCCAGCTCCCTTTATTCCAGCAGTATTGACAAATCTGCAAGTATTTCGGTATGTTGTTGGGAGAAGCTTGCCAATTATTGTGCTCATTCAGCTTTGTTGTATCTGTCAATGATAACAAGTCCATAGAGCTGCTTTCAAAATAGTCCTTAAATATGCCCAAATGCACCCTCATTCAGCAGAATACATGCCCAAGTCTCTACTATGCTCAGTGATTATGACTTCAATCCAATTCCAGTGCTTGACGTTGCAGAGGAGAATCCCTCTAATATGATTACCTTGTAGGACATCAATCTAGGGAAATCTTCAAAACAGAGCTTATAAAAAAAGAACACTAGTTCTTGGGTCTCAGGACTGTAAACTTCTAAATTTTGTCACTCAATTCTGTGCAACTGTAAAAGAAATAAAAGCAAGCTTTATCTTCAGCACTAAAACAACAATCCTAAGCCTATTACACAGGCAATGCTGGAAAAGTTTTCAGGTTTTATCCTCACCTGTATTAAAGCCAGATCCACAAAAAGGCTTAATTACTTTAAGTGAAGGTTAGTCAAAAAAGTCCAAAATGGTAATTAATTAGACCATGAATACCTCATTAAACCCCTAAAGCTTCAGCAGGCACCCAAGCTTTTCACAAAGAAAGTTTCATGCTGGAACTATTACAAGCTATGCAGGCTTTGCACCTCCTTATTTATGTTCCCTTTCCTTAGAAATGAGGATTGCCTGTCACTTATGTATGGTTTTGCGCATTCAGCAGCACACTGGCAAGACAGAGTTTGCATATGCAGCCAGAGCCATTTGCATTTGAAAGAAAGAAGGAAAATTTCTGTAGCAAAGCACTTCTTCCAGCTGTGCTTACCAGCAAAGAGTAAGCCAGTTGTCTGTAGCCAAAGACACAAAGTACGCAATAGGTTTCATGCTGTGAATCCAATTTAGATTCTTTTCGGGGGAAAGAACCTCAGCCTGGGGTAGTCAGGCTTTCCAATCTGCTGTCTCTTTGTCTCTTCCTTCTGTCTGGTTTAGATATATCTCCCACTCTGTGAGCAGACTGTGAATCCAATTCCTACCTGCCTGACTCCGGGCTCTGTACAGAGAGGACAAGTGAGCGACAGAAATTTGAAATTAATGCTGGAAGCTGGACATTTTAAAATTACATGCTGATATGCTGAACTTAGCTTAAGTCTTTGTGAACCCAAACATAAAGTATTTTTTTATGTCCTCTTGGCAGTATTTAAGAGATTTGTTTACCAAGATTCAGGATCTTCACATTTGAAGTGCTATTTGATAGTTGCATTTGAATGTAAATATTAAAAGGTATTTTAGTTTTTTGTTGTATATAAAAAAATTTATGCAACTTAACAACTTAGTGACTTCCCTGAAAAGTTTTTACTATTTGTTGCCTGCTTAAAAATTGTTACCTAGCTGACACGTCACATTTTCCAATTCTAGAGTGACATTTGTTCTCAGTCTAGTAGTACAGTAAGTTAAATGTGACCTTGAGGCCCTCTGTTCTGTCAAGCACACAAACACGCAGCACACAAACCTCATCCTGTTTCTTCCTGACACAGTGCAGAACATTGTCACCTTTTAAATGCTTAGCATGACTTATTTCAATAAAGTCTGATTTCTACAAGGACTTGAAAATGTAATTGAAATTTGGTGCCTGAATAATTTCAGCCTTATTATACCACATCTATGAAATGGGGAATTTGTCTTACCATATATTGGGTGTCTACCATGCTGCTAGAGAGCTGGGTGTCTGATGTACCATTAGAGGTAGTGGTGATCTGTTCGATACAGCTGGTGGAGCATAGGTAACAATTAATTTAATCCTAAAGCACATACCTTCATTTGATCACCTGAAAAGCTCTCCAGACTCCACTGTCTGTATTGACTATGTCTCCTATGTCTCCGTTAGCTGTAATGACAGCTTACTCACAGCTCCTAATGAGCTACTTGCCTGGCGGACTCCCCAAATTAGGATGAGCCTCGAGGGCCACAGTTTTCCAAAGTGTGAGGAGTCAGGCTTCCTTAAGGCACATACAAATTTCAAATTTAAATCATATTGAATCACAGAATCGTTAGGGTTGGAAGGGACCTCTGGAGACCATCCAGTGCAAACCACTCTCTAAGGCAGGGTCACCTGGAATAGGTGACACAGGAACACGTCCAGGTGAGTTTGGAGTGTCTCCAGAGAGGGAGACTCCACGACCTCCTTGGGTAGCCTGTTCCAGTGCTCTGCCACCTTCAACAAAAAGAAGTTCTTCCTATTTATGAAGATACAAGTAATAAATTATAGACAACACACGTAGACTGAAGCGCCCCCCTGGCCCTCCCAGGCCCGCCCGGCGGACCCGGCAGGGGGCGCCGCCCGGTCGCTTGTCGGCGGCGTTTGGCCCATCGCGGCCACCTTAGCCCTCCCCATCGCGGCCCCGGCCCACCGCGGCTCCTCAGGGGCTGCCCGACCTCGGGGGCTGCCCGGCCTCGGGGGGGCTGCCCAGCCTCGGGGGCTCCGCCAGCCGCGTCCGCCGGCCGGGCCGGGCCGCTGCCATGTTCACCAGCACCGGCTCCAACGGGTTTTGTGAGTACCGGCCCCGCCAAGGTCCGGGGAGGGCGGCGGTCAGGGGTGGGAGCGCGGGCGGCGCTGCCGCCGCCGGCTCCGGGGGAGACGCTGGGCTTGGTCCCCCCTCGGCTGCACTTTTAAACTATGTGACGGCGGGAGGAGCCGCGGGTGTGTGTCTGTATCTGTCTATGTCCGTGTCTGTGTGTGTATATACATCTGCATACATCAGTATAGACCTGCATGCCAACATATGTGTTAGAAGATGCAAGAACCCCTCTTTTCTTAATGTGAAAATAAACTTACTTTTTCAAACCAGTTTATTGATAAGACAGACATATGGACAAATATGTTCCCAGCTCTGTTTAGCTGAATTTGTACGTGCAGCATATGTAAATCATTTTATGTTCCAGTGCTACCTGAACTGAAATCAGGGGTATCTGAATTTATATATATCGGGGGTTGATACAATATCAGGGGGTTGGTTCTGAGTTTGTTTACAGGACAAAGCATCTGCAGCGTCTGGAAGTGGCCGTGAGGAGCTGACCTGGCTGAGCTGTGCACTTTGGCACTACAGTCCCAAGAGCAGGCGGAGACAAATGATAAGTCAAAACTTTGCTGACTAACTGCGTGCTTCATACAAAATGGGTGGGAGTGTCGGTCTGCTGGAGGGCAGTAAGGCTCTGCAGAGGGATCTGGACAGGCTGGATCGATGGGCCGAAGCCAGAAGTATGAGGTTCAATAAGGTGAAATGCTGGGTGCTGTCCTTGAGTCATAATAATTCCATGCAGTGCTACAGACTGAGGGAAGAGTGGCTGGAAGGCTGCCCTGTGGGAAAAGGATCTGGGGGTGCTGGTTGACAGCCGCTAAACATGAGCCAGCATGTGCCCAGGTGGCCAAGAAGGCCAGTGGCATCCTGGTCTGTATCAGAGATAGTGCAGCCATCAGGACCAGGGCAGTGATCATCCCTCTGTACTTACACTGGTGTGGCTCCACCTGAAGTACAGTGTCCAGTTCTAGGTCCCTCAACTCAGAAAGGACATTGAGGGACATATCACTCTCTGCAGCTACCTGAGAGGAGATTGTACTCAGGTGGGGGTTGGCTTGTCTCCCAGGCAAGTAACAACAGCAGGGAAGGATATAGCTTCAAGCTGTGCCAGGGGAGGTTTAGGTTGGACATTAGGAGGAGTTTCTTCACAGAAGGGGTTGTTGAACATTGTAATGAGCTGTCCAGGGAGGTGATGGAGTCACCATCCCTGGAGGTATTTAAGGAAAGACTGGATGTGGCACTTGGTGCCATGGTCTAGTTGATATCATAGAATCATAGAATCAGCTGAGTTGGAAATGATGCTTGCTCAGCTGGTGCTAAGAAAAAACTCTGAAGCAGTTAATTGAAGGTGAGATAAGGAAAGGGTTTAATTGTGCCAAGGCAAAAGATGTTATAGGATGCGCCCCGGCTGTGCCTGAGATGTTACATTTTATAACAATATCTGTCCAATCCCAAGTGTGTCCACCCTGTTACTTTTGCCCTGATCCACCCCCTGGCCCACCCCCCGGAATTGGGTCTGTGGGTTTTTTGAGACCCTCTCTTCATCAATCTTCATCTTCTTCGGGGCACAGAGAGCACAGTCATCCAGTTCTTGACTCTGTTCTGCGGTTTAGGCCAAGATACAAGCGTTCTCCAAACAGAACAGGCCTTGCCTTGACAAGAGACTGAACATTTCTACTGGATTTGAGGGTAGGATTGATATAGGATACATGGAATGGGGTAAGAGGGTTAAGGAATTTGTAAACTAAAGGGTGCTATAGGGTAGAGGGATAGGGCTGCTGCTTTTAAAATCTACTTCTACTACTTATAAAACTTGTAAAGCTTACAAAAATTAGAAAAATAAAAACTAATAGGGGCTTAAGGCATCAGAAAGGACCTCTGAGATAATCAAGTCCAACCCTTGATGCAACACCACCGTGATTACTAGACCATGGCACTAAGTGCCACATCCAGTCTCATCTTAAAAACCTCCAAGGACAGAGAATCCACCACTTCCCTGGGCAGCCCATTCCAGTGCCTGATTACCCTCTCTGTAAAGAATTTCTTCCTAATATCCAACCTAAACCTCCCCTGGCACAGCTTAAGACCATGCTTACTGATAGATGCCTGGGAGAACAGACCAACCCCCACCTGGCTGCAACCTCCTTTCAGGTAGTTGTAGAGAGTGATGAGGTCTCCCCTGAGCCTCCTCTTCTCCAGGCTAAACAACCCCAACTCCCTCAGCCTCTCCTCGTAGGACTTGTGCTCCAGTCCCTTCACCAGCCTCATTGCTCTTCTCTGGACCTGCTCCAGCACCTCAATATCCTTCCTGAACTGAGGGGCCCAGAACTGGACACAGTACTCGAGGTGTGGCCTCACCAGCGCTGAGTACAGGGGAAGAATCACTTCCCTGGACCTGTTGGCCACACTGTTCCTGGTACAGACCATGATGCCATCAGCCTTCTTGACCACCTGGGCACACTACTGGCTCATGTTCAGCTTCCTGTCAACCCAAACTCCCAGGTCCTTTCCTGCCTGGCTGCTCTCCAGCCACTCTGTGCCCAGCCTGTAGCACTGCAGGGTGTTGTTGTGGTCAAAGTGCAGGACCCGGCACTTGGCCTTGTTGAACCTCATCCCATTGGAATCAGCCCAACTCTCCAGCCTGTCCAGGTCCCTCTGCAGAGCCCTCCTGCCTTCCAGCTGATCGACACTCCCCCCCAACTTAGTGTCATCTGCAAATTTGCTGATGGTGGACTCAATCCCCTCATCTAAATCATCGATAAAGATATTAAACAGGACTGGGCCCAACACTGATCCCTGGGGGACACCACTAGTGACCGGCCGCCAACTGGTTGCAGCACCGTTCACCACCACTCTCTGGACCCGGCCCTCCAGCCAGTTCCTAACCCAGCAGAGAGTGCCCCTGTCCAAGCCGTGGGCTGCCAGCTTTTCCAGGAGTATGCTGTGGGAGACAGTGTCAAAGGCTTTGCTGAAGTCCAGGTAGACCACATCCACAGCCTTCCCCTCATCCACTAGGTGGGCCACCTGATCATAAAAGGAGATCAGGTTGGTCAGACAGGACCTGCCCTTCCTAAACCCGTGCTGGCTGGGTCTGATCCCTTGTCCATCCTGTAGGTATTGTCTGATTGCACTTAGGATGATCTGCTCCATAACCTTACCAGGCACTGAGGTCAGGCTGACAGGCCTGTAGTTTCCCGGGTCCTCCTTCCGGCCCTTTTTGTGGATGGGTGTGACATTTACCAACTTCCAATCATCTGAGACCTCTCCAGTGAGCCAGGACTGTTGGTAGATGATGGAGAGCGGCTTGGCATGCTCTTCTGCCAGCTCCCTCATCACCCTTGGGTGGATCCCATCTGGCCCCATAGACTTGTGAGGGTCCAAATGGCTCAGCAGGTCGCTGTTTCCTCCAGGATTACAGGGGGGCTATTCAGCTTCTTATCTCTGTCTACAAGATGTTTAGGTCAAAGGTTGGACTCGATGGTCTCAGAGGTCTTTTCCAACCTAACTGATTCTGTGATTCTGTGAAATCCAAAGCTGAGTGTGAAAGCAACCTCCAAACAGGGGGGAATACTTCTAGCATTTAGGGAGTAATATTAGTTGTAGCTGTATTCTGTATGACGCATCCAAAGAAGGGAGGAGTATTTTTTCAGATGGATCTGGTAAACAAGTACTGGATTCACAAATCCTGATATCTTATCTCCCTCCCCTAATAGGAACGTTTTGATGTCATGTGTCTGTGTATAATTCTGTGAGAAAGAAAGTGTGGGGAAAAGTATCCTTGTTTGGTTGAATGGGTGAAAAGTCATGGTCAGTACTTAAAAGTTTTTCCAAGGTTGGTCCATCAGAAAAATGAGTGGAAAATTCTTGTAATAAGAAACATATTTGTACTAGGAAAAAGACTTAGACAAGATGTCATTCTGCAAAAAGTAAATCATAGAATCACAGAATGTCCTGAGCTGGAATGGATCCATCAGGATCATCATGGCCAACTCCTGACCCTGCACAGGACCATCCCCAAGAGTCACACCATGTGCTTGAGACCTTCGTGCAAATGCTCCTTGAGCTCTGTCAGGCTTGGTGCTGTGACTACTTCCCTGGGGAGCCTGTTCCAGTGCCCAGCTACACTCTGGGTGAGGTACCTGTTTCTAGTATCCAACCTAAACCTTCCCTGACACAACTTCAGACCAAATGTACTTTTTTTTTTTGTCCTCAAAAACTGATGTGACATACATTCCTACTGAACTCACCTGTTGACCTAAAGTGATTTTTCGCAGTAAGACATGGCTGGTACAGATGCACTGAAAAACTCTAGAAGAGAAATGTATTTAGGTGGCAGTGACATATGTTCACCTAGAGCACAACTGGAGCAGTTTAAGGTGTCCCTATACCCTCAGACTTTTGTTTCTGCCTGTGTAGCAGAAGTGTCTGCTGCAGTAGCAGCAGGATGTAGGATACAGTCAGAATGTGCATAATCTGACGGTTTAGGTAATTAATGAATTGTTACCTGATCTTGCATCAGGGAAGTATATGTGTGCGTTGTGCCCCTGGCTCTTGGGAGCAGTAACCTCTGGCAGAAGGGCAGTGTTGGTGGATAATGGAACCTGTATCAGTGACCCTAGATAAAGTAAGCAGACACCTGGTTCAGCAGCAATAAGGATGATTGTGCCAGGTCAGACTGAAGGCTTCTGCAGCCTGGTATGCCATCTCTGACAGACTTCTTAACATCTGTAATGTTTGTTTAAAGCCACGTCACGATACCATTTGGTAAAACTTAGTAATACTAAGCTCTTTTACCTTTGTGTATCTTAAGTAATTTTAAAAAGTGACCCACTTGTTGATTATATTTCTAGTAGATTAGGGGCTTTAGTGTCTTCAGACATAGATGTGATGGTAAAAATGTCATTGGTTACTGTATTCTTTTTGCCTTGTTTTCACTGTTGCCTTGTTTTCACTCCTTTCTGCAGAATTCTCT